TTCTTTGGAGCACAGACTTAAGGTTGATCTCTTTTTAAAGAAGACACTTGCCAGATTATTGTAGAGTGAAAAATGTTATAAAAAAAACTTATGGAAGTTTAAGTTTATGAAAATATAAAATATTAAAATATTCATGTTTTATATAAAATATATATTTGACAAAACATGTTGAACTCTAAAACTGCGAGAAAATCAAAACCAAAAAATCTGAACAAGTTGTGTTCCAAATTTGAGGGTTGATATATCAAAAAATGAGCTTTCAGTAAGATTTTGTTTGGGCGCAGTACCAAACGTTTCCACTAGATGATATTCACTTCCCATTCATTTCCAGTGCGGTCATTTTTGACCATATACACTACAAGTGTCTATCATAGCAAATGCCAAAACCTTTACCAAGTTTCGTACCGTTCAGTTAATTAAACAGCACCAGAGGAGGGTTAATATTAGCAATTCAAATGTGAATTTTTTTGATAGCATTCACGTTAGCATCATTGTTAGCAAATATCACTTTTTTGCCTTTTTAATGCTAATTTGTTAGCATTTAGCATTGCCAATGTGATTTTTCAATCAATATATCAATGTGTTGTGCTCTTGGGGATAGTTACCATGTTTTTTCCTCAACCTTCAGGGATGATCTTGGTTTCCGGCTGATTTCAGAACAAGTGAGCCACCATCCTCCCATCAGCGCCTTTCACGCAGAGGGTTTGCAGAAGGACTTTGTGTTTCATGGCTCCATCTACCCCAAACTGAAGTTCTGGGGCAAAAGTGTGGAGGCCGAACCTAAGGGCATCATCACTCTAGAACTTCCCAAGTAAGCGTCTACTCTGGGTGTGAAGACGCTTTATTAATATCCACACATTGTTTTGTGTGGTTTCAGCTGTTCCTGTCCATAATTCGTACATTTTGAATACATTTTAGTATGAAAGTCATTGGTGAATCATGATTTATGTAAATGTTAGTACACAGATTTTGTGTTTATTCCCATTGTTTGAGACCCATTGTCGAATAATAAACTCGTTGCAGGCATAATGAGGCATACACATGGATGAACCCCACGTGTTGTGTGCACAACATCATCGTGGGACAGCTGTGGATCGAACAGTACGGCAATGTGGAGGTTATCAACCACAGGTATCAACGAGACTCTGAAATGTACTAGTTCTGCTTTAACTTCACTAATGCAGCTCTTTTGACTTATAATTGCCAACAGAACTGGTGAAAAATGCTGTCTAAGTTTCAAACCGTGTGGCCTATTTGGCAAAGAATTACATAAGGTTGAAGGCTACATCCTGGACAAGAGGTCAGTTGTTTGAGTTTAATTTCCATGATAAATGTTCATGCCATCACTACATTTCTATTTTACATTGATTATTTGTGTATTCCATAAAGCAAAAAGAAAGTGTGCAACCTTTATGGGAAATGGACGGAGTGCATGTACATAGTCGACACAGCTACATTTGAAACTCACAAGAAGAACGAGAAGAAAGCATCAGAAGACAAGAAAAGCAGTAAACAGGTGTTTCTGAATGAATGTTTTTATACAGCATTATATACCCATATAATGATTCCAATCCGATAGGGCTAAATGTGATCGATACACTGTAAGGTTTATAACTGTTTGCTTGGTGTTTCTCAGTCATCTCAGACGTCAGACTCAGAAGAAACACCTCAGCCAGGAGGAGATTCACTGGAGGTGATCCCAGGAAGTCAGTTGCTCTGGAGAATAGCACCTAGACCAGTCAACTCTGCCCAGGTCGGTTCCAGAATATGAGCTCTGGGAAACCTTTTCCCAGAAAAATCTGGGTTACTGTGAATGGCGTGTTAAAATAATCAGTTTTTTTTTTAGCAACAAGACGTGAACAATATGAGCATTTACATGATTTTAAACTAAAACAAGTACTATTTTTGTGTATAGTTATATCCAATTTTACAACTTTGTCATAACACTGTAAATGACTGTAAAATAAGTTAAGAAACTTTACAGCTCAAATAATACAGACGTTTTAACAGAAGAATTTGTAAACGTAAAAAAATCACAATTTCAATAGTATAGCCACGACATGTGAGCAGTATGTGTTTACAGGATAAAAAAAAATTGCTTTTCTGTGTAAAATCTTAGCTAATTGTACACTTGACAGTGACAATGTCGAAGCCTTAAAATGACAGCTTTACAGCTCAAATAATGCAGAAGAATTAATAGAAATTTAATTTGAATTTGAATTAATTCTATACAATTTTAATGTAATATATATATTTTTAAATGAAAAATTTAGTTAATTTTATAAAATTGTATGCTGGAAAAATTGGCTCATTATAAGTGCATCACCATGACTTTTTTTTTTTTTTTAAGAAAACAAGGGACGAGTGGAAATTATTTTTGTAGTAATCAAAATATGCCACAAATGCTGTTGATTTGGAGCATCCTTTGAAATCTGAATTTTCACATTTTCTGTATTTTGGTTTTATTTGCATATAAAAAGATGTACAACTTCACTACATTCGCAATGCAGCTCGATGAGCTGGACAAAGAGATTGAAGCGGTCATCCCGAAAACAGACAGCAGACTGAGGCCGGACATACGAGCCATGGAAAACGGAGACATCGGTATGTGTGTTTCCATGCACCGCTTTATGCCATTGCTGATGATGTATCTAAGTCATACTTTATATTCTTAGAACTTATCACAAATGAGCTACGTTTAAATATTCAGAGGTTGAATAACTTCCTTTTTGAACATCTTAGACCTGGCCAGTGAAGAGAAGAAGAGATTGGAGGAGAAACAGAGGGCGGCACGTAAGAACCGCTCTAAGTCAGATGATGAGTGGAAGACGAGGTGCAGAAATATTTCATATTTTCACATTTCGCTGTTTGCTTATTCAAAAAGTTACTACAGTTATTGTTAACACTCAAAAATCATAATAAATTAATATGGGATCTCCTTCAAACAGTACTTGTTTTCATTTTTGATGAACATGTTGGAAAATACAAGTAAAAATAACTAGTATCTAAGATGCGCATGTAACACTTTTTTGTGATATTAGGGTTTGCTTGTGACTAACTGCGTAACAAATTCTATTATGTTTACTAAATTTGGTCATTTATTTGACCATTTTCATACATAGCTTAACAGTATCTACTCATTGATGTTTAACAGCACTCTTAGTTCTGGTTCAGTGGCACTGTCCTTTGCATTTAACCTCATTTTCCCCTTCATTTCTTCTGGCATTATCATCTGTCCTGTGACTTTGCTGCGGTGAGCAGAAACGTCGCCTCGGGCCCCAGGTTTGACGCTTGCTTTGTTGCTCTGTCTTTTGCATTCAACTGTTTCAGTAATTTATTTGCCTTGAGCGACTGGGATCTATCCACAGTCTGTAATTATAGCACAAAATGGGTTGTTTGTGGTAGAACAACTTGTGTAACAGTAGTCACATACATAATGATAGTAAAACATTTTTGTATATAGGGGTTCACCATTATGAGCTTTTAAAGACTATTTAAATTCAATCATTTATGATGGAAAACAACTAGAGAACTTTTAATACTAGTATTACACCAAATGTATACATATAGTGTCATATATACAGTCTTTTTATCATATGCAAATGGCACTTCACACTAACGGAATGAGTTGTTTTTTTATGTCCCTTTAGACAATCTATTTTTAATGTGGAATAAGACGATGTAAACAGAGCACTCTGGCCTTCTACTGCGAGAGCAGGGTGAAACTGTACACCTGGTTTAAGTGTTACAGCCAAATGCTCCACCGAATCTATTCAACATAGAATAAGACGATTCTAATGGGGGTCAATTAAACTTTTTTTACGCATGTTTGACTGACCCCAAGCAACTCAACGTGACAAAACTAAAACGATCCCGTTATAATCAATGTTTTACGTGTTTGCCGAACTGAACCTTTTTTTTTGTTGCCTGAAACAGGTGGTTTTATCAAGGTCCAAATCCACACAATGGCTCTCAGGACTGGCTGTTCTCCAATGGCTACTGGGACCGTGATTATTCTCAAGTACCGGACATCTACTGACCTACAGGAATCTTACATCAATAAATTGTATAGTCAAGACTACACGTAACGTAACTATAAAACTATGCAACCTGCGCTGGTTGGCCAGGTGAACATTTCAAATATCATAAATAATATTGTTTCAAGAGAGAACTTTTAAACTCACTGATCTGAATTTAGTTTTACACTGTTTCATATGTACATGCATATGCAACAATCAAGGGTTTTGGGAACTACAGATTGTGAAATATCATGAAGATTATAATCACAAGTTGGGCTTGATATAGTAATATCAGTGTACTGTATTAGCAATAATAGTTCTGTTTTAGTCTTATGAAAAAGGATTTTTTTTTTAAAGATTTGTTAACAATGGTACATTTTGGGTGTCCCCCAAGGCTCAAGTCTGAGTCCATTTTGTTTTCTGTTTATTGGCTTAAAAATGAACTTGGCATTTCTTAAGTTGGAACATTCCCACTGTGTTGAGTGTGGAATGTGGTATAAAACAACTGGTTGTGAAAATGACTGTTACACATTTGGAATCTAACTTTTTAAAATTCAGAGTTCATATTCTCCACATACAATGCAGTATTAGGACAGTGTGTCTATTTCTGCTGCTCTTTCTGTTGTTGTTTTTTTTTTTTTAGAGAGATGCCTCTGTGGTGTCACTAATATATTGACTAATGTCTTTTGTTATATTATAATATAACAATCTTATTTTAATTATGTATTTATCATGAGTCAGTTATTCGTCTATTTTTAAAATTTTAAAGTATAAAGTTGGTCAGGAACATGAAGCTGTACTGATCACTTGATGCAGTCTACTTTTAACCCCATATCGATTTATTTTGTGTGTTACATGTTTTTGTGTGTATATTTTGTAGATTTATCTAACAAAAATGCCTACAGATAATGAGCAGAATAATTCTGTGCATAAAAGGCATTAAAGATTGTATTTAGATTACATCTAAAAAAAATAAAAACCTAAAAAAGAGGTGTATGAACATTTTATGCTTTATCAAAAACAAGACAGAAACACTTTGTTTTTAATCTTGTTTTTATTTATTTATTTTTATATAAACGTGAACATTATAAATTGTGTAAGATGCCCTCATTTATGCCTGTAAATATGGCGTTTCAGGACTTTTTCCTTCACCCATTTTTCCCAAACAGGGAAGGTTTTAGTCCGCGTTTATTAAGAGGTCGATGTGCGCATACATGAATGAATTACCACAGCACGACAAAAACAAGACGTACGTAAAACAGCAGTGCATAATGAAAACATGATTGTCGTATTAAAAGTTTGTCCTTCTGAATATAAAGGTTTTAGATATAAATGTAAATAAATAGCTCGAGTCGTTCAAAAAAAAAAAAACTGAACATGCAATAAAGTGCCGCTTTGTCGTTAGCAAACATTTGCAAGTTTTGTTTCCTCCAGTGGACTGTAGGTAAATATCCACTTCATCCAGCGCTTTTTTTTTGTTTTCCGTTTTTACAAAAATATCCATTACTATTTCGTTGTGAGAAACGATTTAGTGCGTGAGTGAACTTTCCTAATGAATCAAACATTTTGCAAACCCGTTGGTCCATTATTAGATCAAATGTGTGGTTCATTCACAAATCTGGCATTGCAAAAATCTTCTAAACAGCTGAGAGAAAACACGCAATGACTTGACTGATGAAATATTATCAGAGTAAATGATTCTCAGCTCGATATATGGTAATCCTAGTTACTTGAAACTTAAGGATTTATCAATATTTTTACTGAGGTGCACAACTAAAGGTCTAGTGACGCCCCTGGTTCTTCCATGAAATTATGATTATTATCGTTTTTTTATTCTATTTTATCACCTTTATTTTCTATTCAAATATGAAAAGATGAATTATTTTTTTGTCTTCTCTAAATCAAAGGGGTTGGAAATTTTCAGGGGAAAAATTAATTATAAAAAATTAATTAGATATTTTCCACATTTAATTCTTGTTTTTAGTATAATGACAACATAAAATAGCAATTATTTAATTGAGGTTGTCCTTATATCACATGATGTACCATTTTTCAAGTATAAATATTTCTTAAATTTATAGCTGCCTTTAATTTAAGAAGGGAGTCTTTTGCAAGGGGATCATCATAAATGGGGGTCCCTGGTATCAAATGTTTTAAAAACCTATTTCAACTAAATGATATGCTTTCTTAGGCCTTTATGCAAAAAGAGAAAGTAATCAAAAATATATTCAAAATATGCTGCAAAAATCACGCATTCCCACCTATCCACCTTGTTAAATTTGTTTAGAGGAACAAATTCTGACATATTTCTCCTCTTTTCTCGCACTTTTACTTCAGAAAATCAAACTTACCATCGGAGTTCTGCAAACGATCATAATCCAGTGAACACACTGAACTCGCGTACAAAGTTTAATGGCAAGTTTACGTTATTTTATTAATTGAAATGTCCTAATTCTGTTATCCTCACAAGGTATAAATACCCTGAACATCCAATATTGACACGTTTCACAGTGAAGACATGTTTTTTTAGCCTCTGGAGTTACTGACAGAGAGACCAGAGGGAATCATGTACAGTAGTGAATAAACGTTACAGCTATGGGCCGAGAAAATAAGACGTGCAAGTTTCACAACAATTTCACAATATATACACCAGCTTAAATCAATTAAAGTTATTCAGAGAAGACATTATCAAAAGGAGATACTGATGTGCAAAAAAGATACTTTTCAAAAAAGTCTACAAATGATAAGCCTGGGCCAAAAATATTATCACAGAACACCTGGCACAAAAAAAACAAATACAACATATGGCTCGTCAAAAACAAGGTCCAAAATGAAATGACCTCCTCTGGCCCCGAGGAAGACCAGTAGGTAGTTGTACATGGTTTTCACTTCAGAAAATATCTGAGAATACCAACAGAGGACATGAGGACCAAAGTTATGCAGCTGTTCTCAAACATAATACACAGAATACCAGATGAAATATGTTCTATATCCCCTGACGTATTACAAAGGGAACACATGGTTTAGTGTTAAAATGGAACTTTGCAATACATACAATAAAAACAGCCAACCTTGAATGCAATGCGTTTTAACCTGCAAAAGTGTCCTCAACTAGACTAGTGACAGACCGATATATTAGACTGATTCAACATCCAATATTTGTATCAATTTGGCTTGCTTAAATAAAAAATGTGGTACTTTGCAGTTATAAATAAATAAACAAAGAAATTCAAATATTAGATTTTATATAATAATTTCAGTAAAAATGTAACAATGTAAAAATACAAAAATTCCAAACTTTTAACCTGAGTTTGTTTATATATATTATGTTTATTACATATATATGTTTATATATAATGTAGTGTGTGTTGGTGTGTGTGTATATATATAAACAAACTCAGGTTATGTTTTGTGTATATATAGATAAAATCCATATATACACACATAAAATGTAGTATTTTTTTACTTAAAATTACATACAAAATAAATAATATGTCATTAATAAATAATACTTAACAATGATTATTAAAAATCATTAAATCATTAAAAATATTAACATTTATTTTTATTATTTCAAAGAATATACTATTAATACCACTGGCTCCAAATTCAGGTGAAGTTTTGAATTGTTGTACATAATTTATGAAGCTATCTATCTATCTATACGCAAAATGTAATAATTTTACTGAAAATTATATCTAAAATAATATAATTAATAAATATGATTAAATATTTATTATATGGAATTTTCTTTAAAAATATTAATTTATTGTTTACTTGAAATATATATTATTCATACAACTGCCTCCAAATTCAAGTTAAGTTTTGAATTTTAGTACATAATTTATAATTTTATCATTTAAAACACCAATTTAATATTTTTACTGAAAATGATATATGTGAATAATAAAGAAAAATACATATAATAATAATAATTTAAAAAAATGATATAGCCACACTTTATTTTAAAGTGTCCTTGTTACAGTGTAATTAAGTAATGCGTAATATTAATTAACACTTCAAGTCAAGGTTTGGTTTAGGTCTAGTTGCGTGTAATTATGCAGAATTTACTGTAATTACAATAGAAAGTAACAAGGATGCTGTAAAATAACGTGTTACCAAATCATAAATAAATCAGCTTTAGTATCATTAACTGAACACATCTGATGCAAATTAGACTCGAAAATAATTCTCATTAAACTATTTTTGAAATCATAGCATCGCCATTTTGGTCTCATATCGATCAGCCACTGCGCCAGATGCAAACAATCTTGATTTGACATACAGGTAGTTACAGGTAAGTTTGGATACTATTATTTCTTTGAGATAAAGGGTTACACAATATATATTTCATTCTGATGTATTCATGTTATCTAATGTAGAGTTCTATCTCATGCTAATGTGTTTGGTATGATAGCGCAAGCTCTGGGAAAGGATCTAACCAGCTGGTCTACACCCGTGTTTCTTCGTGAGAGTTGCTTCTGTAGATCAATCCTGAACACACAAACTGGATGTAAATGTGAACGTGAAAATTAGCGATAACCAACAGCTACATGAAGAGTGAACCTTTTCGATACTAGACGGAAAAATACTGGCAAACATGTCCTCGGTCACCTGAAATCCACTGACTCTCAGTTTCTCCCTCCAGAAAAGCAGGATTACTTCACATGGCTTTCGCTTCAAAAAGTGCTGGACAGGAGCTCTTCTGAGGTGGGACGGACGGGTCAGTGAGGGACCACTTCCTTTATGGAGGCCAGGGCGGAATGGATGCGGACGTGCAGCCTGTTCTCGAAGTCGTACCCGGAGTAGTTCTCCTGCAAGCAGAGGTAGTCACCATCTCAACTGAACTTACTGATGCATCCAAGATACTAAATCACTGATGTATTACAGTCTTACCTTGGCCTGAAGCAGCAATGATCTTCCTTTACTCAGGGTCTTAGGAGGGAAAGAGTTGAAATTCATTGAAAACATTCAAGTATAAAAAATTAGCTTAGTTAAGAAATGATCATTTAAAAAAAATCCAATAAACATTTAATAAACACAATGCACAATATCAGTCTCTATTTATTTTAATATAATTGTACTATATTTTATTAAAATTTTTGTATAAATAAATGTATAAACTAAAAGCTTAACTCCTAATAACTATAATTGGAAATAATTTTTATTTAAAAGATTATCACAAATTAATAAATTATTTAAAATACTGTATAGTAAATAATATGGTTTATAAATTCACTGTATATATATAAGCATAAATTAAGTCATTATTAGTGGTTAAATGGATCGTAGTTGATCCGTGATCCGTACGGACCAAGCTCCACGGTTCGGCACGCATGTGATCCGCGGATTAATTGCTAAATTTAACCATGATAGAGTATAAGTTTATCATTTGTTCGTATTTACACACGCAAGCGAATTTTAAACAATCCCAGAGAGAAAAGGCGAAACTCGATTCGTTACTCGCGCGCTGTTCTCTACACGCGAACACCGAACTGAATCCGCTTCTGAATCCTCTGAACAGACACATACACATAAAATGATGACTAAATACCCATCTTGACAATCATTCAGGTAAACGCAGTCAGTTATGTCTCAAGTGAATGAAAACAGCTGAGAAAGAAATCGGATGTGATGTGTATCCGTGCAGCAGGTCTTAAAGGGACAGCGGCCTATAAATACTGCTGCTGTCATTAATTATCATCAAACAACAAAACAGCTGTGATAAAAATCTATATTTAATTTATACAGTGAACACTATGCAGTGTTATTTTCCCTAATTATTACATTTCTGCATTCGAATACTACCAACCTTATTTTATTTGTA